AGCAAACCCCAGTTTGCAGCCTGAGAGCTCGCTGGGTTTCTGCATGATGCCATTCGAACAAAAGGGTGATGAGAAAGCAGTTCCATGGCTGGGGACTGATTGCAATTTGTGTCTCATTTTGCCTTCGCTCTCTGGCACTGACCCAGCACAGTAAAGCACAGAATGGTGTGACACAGTCCTCCAAATAAAGGGTTTCAACTACATCAGCATTTAGCAATGTTTGCTAGATTTTCACTTCCTAAATGTTAAATAGAATCTCTTGCCGTGGCCATTAGATGGTGAAACAGATACTGGAATCCATGTACAGCCACCCCTCTTTCTCCCTGCAAAATTTGATAAAAGTTTTGCTGAATAAGGACTTCAGGATTTAAATATTGGGTTGTCTCTAGAAGTGCAAAGCCAGCAAAGAACTGTATTTTTAAAAATGACCATCCAGCCACTGGCTATGGAAATAACCCCTAACACAAAACTGCAATTAGAACTGGACAGTCAGACTAACTTTACAGAACTTGCCCAAAATATTTGCTGGCTTGAGAGCCACGGGGGTGAACCTTTGTGCTTGCCATAATTTTCCATCATTAATTTGAGTTTTTTGTCTCTCAGGTAATTTGTCACCGTGTAAGTCCATTTCAAGCATTTGCAGTTCAGTGCACAGCATTAAAATTTCGTAAGCAATTTTAGACTCATGTATCCAGAACAGAGCACAGCAACAAGTCAGCTTGTTATTGAAGATGGAAGCAAAGAGTTGTAACCTTCGTGCTGTTATTTAGAACTTGTAATAAAGTGGAAGCAGTAACTGTGGTGAAATAAAAAAAATATGGTTCGAATGTGTAAGTAACTCTCTTTGCTCCCTCGTAAGGCCATGAAAAAGTAGCTTCAGAGCAACTGTAACTTAGTTCATCCCAATTAGGGATGGTTGGCAGCCCCTCTGTACCAGTCTGTACCAGTAGGTCACAGCCAATTTGGAGGAATCATTATAAAAAAGATGCTGGTATTATAAACCACACTCCTATAAAGGATTAAATATGATCAAAAGCTGGAATATCTTATTTTCTGTTCTGCGTGATCAGATCAGTCAACACATAATATATAGGCATTTTCCTACCTCTATGGAACAGGAATTGCTGGATGCTCCAGGGAAATTCAGGATGCTGACATAACTGCTGGCATCCTGGCCACAAGTACAAGGCTCACTTTAGAATGAAAATTGTTCTCTTCAGTAATGGGAACACCAGTTGCAATTGTTTCTGTCCTTTTTCAGATTTCTGAAGGGTCCAAAATCATTGAAGCTTTCTGAACCACTGAAATGTTGTTCCTTAAGAACTGCATTTAAAGATCTCTTGACTTATGAAATCCATTTTTCTATTCAGTGGGATGTATCCACCCAAGTGGGAAGATTTTGAGTACAGGATTTTTATTTCATCTGGATGAACTCTTCAATATGTACATCTGGCAGCTCCTCTACAGAACTGATGGTCACATCTGCTACAGAAAAAGCAGCTAATTGCTTTTTCTTTTTTTTTTTTTAATCACAGAAGTGCTGCTTCAAAAATCCCAGCAAAGGAACTTGCTCTGCTATTTTCTGGAGTTTCTTTTCCGTAAAGGCTGCAAGTGTTCCCATTCCTGATGTGCTGTGTTGGGTTTGTGTGGCCAGGTTTTGGTAGCTGGGGGGGACACAGGGGTGGCTCCTCTGTCCAGTTGCAGAGGGCACTGATGGAGTGGCTTTGGTGGGCACCTGGTGTCCAGCCAAGGTCAACCCACCCCATGAACTCACTGGCTTCCCTCCCTACATCAGCCCCACCAACCAGCAGCAGCACAAAAAAGCTCTTCAAACCCACGTTCTTTGTTGTTGTTACACAGGACAAGCTTTCATCCAATTTTGCATTGTTTGTTCTACCCAGTGTGGGTAAAACAACAGAAAACAGTCTTTAAACTAATGAAAAAAGACTCCTTTCTGCATGGTGGTTTAAACAAGATGCTTAAACTAACAATAACGTTCATCTTGATGTGTTTCACTGCACAGATAACTGAGAACCCAGTTTGTCAATAAAGAGGGACTATGCAAATCATTCTACCACTTATGGAAATACCAACAAAAGCTGAATTCTCACCTACAGAGAAGCAAAGCAGAAGGATTTTGCTCCTATCGAGTGATGAATTCTAAAGAAAGGATAAATAAACGTTTATTCAGTCATATAAATATACACTGTAAAGAAATCTTACGTAACATCTTTGCTGCCTGTAGTTAACTAAAGTTTAGGAAGTGCCCAATTGTCACACAGTAATTACTATGCCATTTAACCCATCCTGTTTTTAAGCCTCTCCAGGGATCACAACCAGTTCCTACCTCTGACTCACCCTCTGCCACCCCCAAAATGGGGCTGTGACTGGATTCTTAGGAACAGCATCCATCTCCAGTGGCATTTTTACTTCCCAGAGGCAGCACCACAGCCCTGCTGCAGACTGGAGGTACTACGAGTTCCATGGCAACTACCAAGGCATGTGGAACACTTTAATTATATTGGAGCTTTTTCCTCCTCTTCGTTTTTCCCTTTTTTTTTTTTTTTATCCCCAGCTATGCTGCCTTAGAGTTTGCAGGCAAATAGTTATTTTTAGCAGCTAACACATCTTTCAGATCTCTTCTAGAATCTCAGCTAGTTCTCTTCTCATGACGTTTTAAGCACTGAGAATTAGGTTGTAAAAATGCAAGTTAAAAATCTGAAGCTTTTTAAGAGACAACTTCCCACCTGATACCCAGAATATTTGGCAGATTTGATTTTTTAAACACTTTTGCTGTTCCAAATGCTGTAGATAAACACCAGGACTATGCTAACAGGGATCTGTGGGAAAATTTGAGTGATGCCTCCTCACACTATACCCACCTCATGACAGATTTTATTACTCATTCATTTTAAGCTCTAATCTAGGTTATTATGCCACACCCATCACCATGGGAATGGCACTTAAAAGGACCAGAAATACTTTACTATTCAGCTTTTCCTCAGAACTTCCAGTGTGATCTGATTGCAGTTTCAATATCCAAACCCTCTTTGAGGAGTTCCAGCTGACAGATTAAAATCCTCAGTAATTACCAGTATCTTCAGTGCAACAATATGGAGCCCTTGATAGAAGAGTGAATTACAAATAAATGGGAAGGGAGCAAGTTAAATGCATTCCTAACCACGAGAGAAACAGGAGGGATAACTCCCCATCCCTAATTAACTGTGTCTTAGAGCAAAGGTAAATAGAGGAGGAGTTTTTACTTACTGGTTCTGCACCATTTTCTCTGACTGTCTCCTCCACAGAAAGGACCATTGAAAAAAGAAGATTTAAAAGAACAAGTTAGAAGACACCTCTGAGTGCCCAGAATGTTGTATGATCACCCTTACTTCAAGTTAATTCTAAAACTAAACCCAGAAATTACACAGTCCCTGCCACAGGCTGCCTGTGATCAACACATGCATCACAAAAATCTGATTTTAAGAAAAAATAAGTATTGCAGGAACTTTGATAGAAGCTTTCTTAACAATTTGAAAGGCAAAGGAACAGCAAAGGAAATTATTCTAGTCACAGCTGGTTTGTTTATCTACTCTGATCAATACTTAGGTGATTGAGGATGAATTTGTTGTGAACAAAGAGGTCACATAAAGACGATTTTCATCTTGTGGTTTCTGGGAGCAAGGCAGAAGCACGTGAGTATTGTCCTGCTACAGCAGCAGCAGTTTACAAGAGCCATTAAAAAACCATCTTCTGAGGTGTGGAGAGAGAACTGGATGTTTCAAATATGAGCAGCTCCACACACCCAAAGGTGTGTGCCCTGGGAATTGTTACCTCATGCCCTGCATCCCAGTATCATCCACGTGGGAGTGATGCAGCACAGGAGCTCGGGAGGGTTTGTGTAAACTGGCATTACTGGATTTAACTCCAGGGAGGAGGAGAAGGCCTGGAGAGCTTTTAACTCCATGGGAGGAGGAGAAGGCCTGGAGAAAGTGCCAGATCTCCACCTGCTTCCCCAGAGAGGCTCCTTTGCAGGTGGGTAGAAGGTGGAAGCAACATATTGTTGGTCTCTCCTGTTACAGAAATGCTATTTCTCCTCTAAATTAGGAGGAAAAAGCCTTTCCTTTCAGCACATACAATGAACATTTACCTTGACTTGCTTTCCAAATGCAACCACATAAATTGAACTGGGGGATGCTGCAAAAAGGTTTTTCAGCCTCTCAGAAGACAAGCTGTTCATATATAAAGGCACTTTGGGTTTCCCTTCCTGTAAAGTTTACAGGAAAAAAAATAAATTTAAAGGCTTTAACTGCAAAAAGCCTGGGCTTCCCTCAAACATTGAAATGCAGAGTGTATTAATATCATGGATTTTAAGGATCTTTGGCCAACAAGCACTAACTGCAAAGATGAGAATTGTAAAGAATTAAGTTCAGTCTCTGATGTTTTCTTACAAAAAACACCTTTGGACGGACATCCCCCCTTCACAAGTTTTTCCTTAGCTACTTGAAAATGCTTTGGTTTACTCTGGTTTACTTTGGTTTATTATGCATCTCACTTGGCTGAAGTGGCATTTCACTTGGGAAGACTTTTCCTGCATTTATGGAAGGCCAAATGCTTTACCAGCTCCAAGGAATAGTTTCATCGATCTCGTGCTCCCTCTCTTGGCAATGTGAGTAAGGTACAGTCACTTCACCTACAGCTCCCTCTGAAGATAATTGAGAAGGGGAAAAAAAGTGTTAATCAGCACAATTGTAACACTTCTAAGATTCAAAAGTGGGCAACTCTTCAGCTTATAAAAACTGAATTTTATGGCAAGGCTCTATTTAATAGCTAAAATAATTTTAGCAGCTCCTTGGTTATAAAAATCTGAACCCAAGAGTTGTGGCCCTTCCAAAAATATTTAACTTTATTCATCCTCGTTTTGATCGGCTTGTTTTTCTAATTATCTTCAGCAGCTAAATTTCAAAAACTAGCATATTGCTGGTTTAGGACTCCAATTAAAAGCTCTTTAGCCAAAAGCCTATTTATTAAACCTCTGTACACAACCATGAACATGTATGTAGAGCAAGTTTACATGAAGGATGATGGTACAAAAAGTACAGTGATAATTAAAACAGACCCACATAAATAATTTATAAAAATACTTGAACCGGTGAAAATAATAATCTGTAATCCCCCATTATCTTCATCCAGTTGCCAGGACTTTGATGTGGGAAATCTTAACATTAGACCTTTTTAAAAACATTCTGAATATATTAAACTTATCTACAGGATAATTAGCAAAATGTATAAAATGTAGATTATTGTACAAAGGACAGATATTAAAAAAATCACCAATCCACCTGAAACTCAAGGACAATATAAATCTTAGCCAAAGTAATGAACACCAAACCACAAACTCCTCTTTTTAGAGTGTTGAGTATTGGCAAGTAAAATGCTCTTAACAAATCAACAGTCCTGTTATTCCTTAGTGGAATTTGGGAAAATTCTACATTTTCTGGCTGCATTGGTGGTCCTGGTCAATGTGGAAGCTCTGCACTGACTTCAATTCCAAGGAAGAACGGGGCAGAAATGTATTTGTCAAGATTTTCTCTTTCCCACCAGAGGATGAGGAAGGTCATCTGAGTTTGTAAAACTGGAGGAGGAAACAGAAGGAAGCTGGGATTTGGACATAAGAAAACAAAGGAAGACCAGTTAAGGTTTAAGTCTTTTTCTTTTGCTGGTTTCTTGGGGAGTTTTTTAACACTCTCCTTATCCGTAGATAAACCCCTGTGGACTCTGCCATGTTTTCAAACTCAAACGGTGTTATGCCTTCTGCAAACTTGCTCATGTCAGGAACAAGACTATATTTTTTTGCAGGTGATTCAGTGCTTGTGGCCACTTTATTCCCTCCTGTATTTTCCCCATCATCCACCTCGGGGTTGGGAGCAGGAATGGTGTTATCCAGCACGCCTTCAGAAACCGCATCATCAGGATCTTCCTTTAAGACAAGTAAAGTGTCTCCTGGATTAGGACTAGTTATAGAATGTTCATTTTCTGGTGTCTGGTCACTCATGTCAGAAAACTCAGTTTCTGCTGGGATCACCTTCTCAGGTGACCTGCCTTCTGCAAACTTGCTCATGTCAGAAACAAGACTATATTTTTTTGCAGGTGATTCAGTGCTTGTGGCCACTTTATTCTCCCCATCATCCACCTTGGGGCTGGGAGCAGGAATGGTGTTATCCAGCACGCCTTCAGAAACTGCATCATCAGGATCTTCCTTTAAGACAAGTAAAGTGTCTCCTGGATTAGGACTAGTTATAGAATGTTCATTTTCTGGTATCTGGTCACTCATGTCAGAAAACTCAGTTTCTGCTGGGATCACCTTCTCAGGTGACCTGCCTTCTGCAATGAGATCCACCTCATTCCTGGATGGTGAGGATGTAACGGAATTCCCAGTTATAGGTGTGTCCACGGGGATATCAGAGTCACTGTTGGTGCTCTCTGCCTGCTCCAGAGCTGCCCAGATCAACCTCTGCTGTTCCTCCAGCTCCTCCAAGGTCAGGGTGTCCTCATCCATGACAGAGTCCACTATTTTTGGCTGAGGAATATCACTGGAAGGGTTCAGTGGAGCAGTCCTGGGCACAGGGGAGCGGGTGGGTGTTGAGGGCTGAGGAGGAGTGAGGGGGGGTGTTCCTAGGGGTATGGGAGGAGGGGTGGACATGGATGGAGATCCAGGTGGCAGAGGGGGTTGGAACTGAAAACTGTTGGGAGTTTGGGATCTTTGTGCTGCTTCCAGATCTAGAAAGAGATTAAATGACACCTGTTAGAACCTGAAATCTGAGACCAGGACAAGACTCGAAGTGCCCCTGTTGTGATTAACCACCAGATTTATGTCTTCTCATCCTTGCTTTTTAGCTGAGGCAGAATGAACTTTGTAAAGGTTTTAATATCCACCAAAGTCATGGGTTTTGGGATTTTTACTCTGCTACTTATTCAAGGAAAAAAAAAAACCTCTTGAATGTATTAAGAACAAACTCATTCCACACTGAAGGATTCCTCACAGCAGATTCAGAAGGAAAGCCAGAAGTTTCTCCAGCTCTTTGAACATTTAAATAACACTAAGTCCTCCTTTGAGATTGACTCATTTTTAAGAAGCTGAAAGCTTGTAACTTCTATGTTATTTCATCCAAATATTTAAAGATTTAGAGGTCTTCTGTGAAGAAGTTTTTTTGGGATATACCTGAAGTAAGGAGATCAGAATTTGTGACCTAACATTGCAATTGCTCTGAGCACCCCTGAAACCTCCTGCTTGGGATGGAGGATCTGACAACCCCTGTGACAATCACAGCAACCCAAAATGCTCATTGCAGAGATGCCAAATGCCACTGGGTAGGACACAGCTGGCACATGTCAGCACTGACATTAATTACCACCAGAATGACCACTGACACGCTGCCTTCTCCTTTTAACTCCGGCGTTTTAATTCAGAGCAAGTTATTTTGAAAATAAAAATTGAAATTAGGAAAAAAGAAAGTGCAGAGTGACTGTACCAGAGTCCAGGTCCATGTCAGCTGCTGCTACCTCCAAACTGTCTTCTCTTTGTCGTTTTGAATGATGAGACTTTGACTGAGGTGCAGCCCTTTTATTGCTGGATTTTCGACTGAGCTGAAATTATCCAAGAGAACAAAAAGAATTAGTATTAAACTGTACAGGGTAACATTTCCAGCTATAAGAACCTACTTAAAGGGATTTTGTAACTATATAAAGATTTAGGGACCCAGAGTGTAAACAGACATTGACATTTGAGGGATGTCATGACTATGGTAACTAAGCTTTTCATTATTAGGGGAATCTGGAACTAAGATAATTTTCAGGCTGTAAAAGTTTATAGCAATCTTTTTTCACAACTGTTTATAAATCAGTGCAAAGTATTAACTAAATAATGGAATTTATTCTAAACATGAAGCAATTTTGGTAAAACAGAGAAGCCAGATCAGCATTTCACATCCCTTTGGTGTCAACAAGAAACTCTGTCCCCTTGTGCAAAAAACGAAGATATTAAGCAAGAAATCATTAACTACACTGACTGCATGACAACTCTTTTTGTTTATAATAACAAGGAGATACATTCACCGCCTGCAAATTAGAAAGGTACTGAGCAAAAACATCCTTCTGCTGAGAGGGCTGCATGGGGATGGAACCAAAGATCTGCCACTCCTACAGCAAAGAGAAAAAAAACAGAGAAATAATGTTGCATGTGGTTGGTTAATAACACAACAGTAAAAATTAAAGGAAACACTGAGAGATTAACAAGACAAGATGAATTTCTCATCAAAAGCCTCATTAATCAGAGTAATAACTAGATTTGGACATTTGTAACACAACTACAAACTTCCCCTTGAAATAACTGTTCAGACAAAAAAGGCTTATTTTAAAAAACTTAATTTTTAGTGAAAACTTGAAAAAGCTTGAGAATAGAACTTTGGTTAAGAATGAAAAAACACTAAATGGGCAAATGTAAAGCTGCAAGTGCTCAAGTGGTTCTTTTAAATGCACAGGCATTACATCAGTGATCAAATTCACCACCAGCAGGTTAAAAGGCTTTTGAAAATAAAAGTGCAGCACCCACAGATTTTTTTGTGTGCTCTGAGCTTAGGAGAGCACCCACTATGTGGGTCTTTGACTTGTTTTTGTTCTGGTTGTTACACAGCTTTGCAGAGGTTGTGCAGTTACTGGTCTGATGCAGTTTCTGTGGCTGAAATTGTTAAACCCACAGTAATTTTCCTATTTCACCTTCAGAAAATTTAAATGTAGGGAAGGAACAGCCATTCATGTGTGAAGCTTTGTGTTTAAAAATACTGAATTATCCTTCTAGGCTCCTGATGGTCTCATAATGGAATTAACCCCCACAGAAGCACTGTCAGACCTACCCCCAGGACTCATGACAGGTATCAGTCAGATTGATGTCACATAAATTACAGTCCCCAGCCCCAAACCAGGGGCTTCAAAATAAGAGACTGTTGAAAGAAAATTGTCAGGTGCAAAATATAAAACTAAAAGCATTTACTGTCACTCAGCATGTTATTTAGAAGGCAGAGAACAGGTACTTACATCTGGGATGCCACTGGGAGTGGATATATTAAAGCCTGGATAATTTACCAACTTGGAGACATCGTAAGTGATACCTTTGTGTTGGGGAGACTCTTCATCTTCTCCATCACCATCACCTGTAAGGAAATATAATTATTAGTGATGTTAATTAAGAACTGAAAGTTACTGGAAAAAATCCACAGGATTTAAGAACAGGGTTTTGGAACGTAAGTATTGATAGAAGGTTCTGTAATCCACAAGGGCAGTAACAGTGACCAAATCCATCAGGTACCTGCATGAAGCTTCCCCAGAAACCCAACTGGGGATTCCTAAAACCACTGCTCTTCATGTACCACTAATATCCTCAGAATTTGTCCCCAGGGACAGTTCTGAGATGCAGAACAAACTTTGGCCAGAGCAAAAAGCTGATAAATTACTTTCTAAGTTGGGTTTCAAGAAACGCGTTGTTTTGTTGCTGGTCTTCTTAGTCTTCTATATACAAGGGAGTTACTGAACTTGAGAAAGTGTTATGATGCCAATAGAAGAGGAAATGATGCCAATAACTGGGTTGGATCCCAGTATGGGCCATTCACTTAAGAGCTGGACTTGATGATCCGTGTGGGTCCCTGTGATTCGGTGACGTGCAAGTCCTGCAGAGTTTCACAGGAACTCCAGGTTTTAACAGTGAAATCACACTGACAATCTTCCTCTGTGCAATCCAATCACACAGAACTTGTCTCACTGCTACATCACAGCTCGATAAAGAAGGAGCATTTTTACAAGACTAGAAAAACTTGATTTGCAACTTTCTCCCTCTTGCATGAGGAAGATGAAGGTTTCCAAACCAGTCACTTTACTGTCTCCTGGGTAGGGTGCAGCCAGAGGACAGCAGGCATACTAAAAGTGCATTCCAGCCCCACATTCCTCACCTTTTCCATCATAAAGAGCAAGTCCTGAGTGCTCCATCTCGGCCTCCTTGAGCCAGCCCGGGGGATACCCCAGCTGGCGCATGCGGTAGATGAAGGGAGGGAGGCTCCTGTCTGTGACACCGAGGGCATCCTGGAGGACCACACTGAGCAAGAAAACAAACACAAAACAAAACAGAAAACAAAATTACAGCAAACTCTGGAATTGTTGACAAAAGGTGGTTACGAACATTTTTTGCATTTCACACTGTCGAGTTAAAACAGCGGAATTTTAGCTCAAACTGAGTTGCTTTTCAATCCCAGCTGTAACAACTTTAGATCCAAACCAGCTCTGATATTCAATATAACTTTTTGAATTTCTCACATGCTTTAACAGAATTAATTCTACACCAAGAATAAGTTATTTAACCGGCTACTTCTGATTCATGTCACACTCTGGCAGGGTGGAACTCAACACTCAATTTACCGGGGGATTTTTTGGAGACTGCCACATAAAACTATGATTCTTTTAAACATTTTGAACAGAGAGGAAGGGACACTCAAAGCTCCAAATTTTCACAATTTTGCATGCTTTTTTTAGTTTATTAGGATCATCATAAATCTGCAATATGAGAAGTCAAAGTGGAACATTTGTCTCCCTAAATTAGGGAAAGGACCATGGGAAAGGGGAGGACGACCAAGCTGGTGATGAGTTTTCATCTGAAAAATATCTTTGCCATTTATTAAACAAGATTCTATTTAGCAAATTCAAACACAATAAACCCACAGTTTGAAAATCTGGCACTCCAGAGGTCAAAAGGGTATTCCAATGGAGGGGAAAGGGATACCTGATCACTCCTGGCTTAAATTTTCCAAACCTCTCTTCTACTTCTTCCTCGTGGTAACGCTGCTGAAAGTTCTGATTGCTCGTGTCCCCACAGGCTTCCAAAAACTCCTTTCTCTTTTCACTTATCCGAGCTGCATTTCGTGGCTTAAAGACAAGAAAATTGGGAAGTTTAAATTCCCAATTTATATATATTATTATATATTACTGTAATATTTTACAACATCAACCGGCACTGCCTGCCCTCCTCATGCTCAGTTGTTGATCACACAGCCCAGAGATACAACCAGGTGTAATGGAAACCACACAGCAAACCCCAGGAGTATTTGCCCTGGACCTGGAGAGCTCTAAAACAGGAGGAGATTGTTCAAAGTTAAAACCTTTTGGGTTTTATTTGTATTTCTTGTCCATCTAGTGAAAGAATCTGACTGAAAACTTGCTGATAACTTCAGATTTCAGTAAGAAACTGCTACTGGATGAAGCAAAGTTTCCCCCACAAATAAAAAGAGGCAAACCATGATGTTACAACACGAATTTCCCTTCTGATTTAGTAGGTTAGAATTTATAATATGAGCAGTATAATCTAATCAATAAATGAATAAAACCACTCGTCCATTCTGATCCCAGCACCTCTAATGCTTTTTTAAATGAAACATTTCTTGGAGAGCAGCAATCTTTGGAATACTGGTGATGACTTTACCTGTGGACAGTCTTTCATTTGATGGTCTTCAGAACCACAGTTGAAACAATGAGGTTTGGGCCTGCTTAAAAAGTGCACAACAAATTAAGCCTGAAAGCAACTTTGCAGTGTTAAATAAAAGCACTTCACAATTTTTGTTCTTGACAGATTTTTAGGTTTAGTCTTCCTGAGAAAGAAACCAATGAAAACCTGGAATGGAACTGCAGCTGCCCTTCAACTTTCATTTTCCTTCTAAATTCATGCCATGACAGCAAATACTTGCAATATCACTGGAGGGGAAACCAAGATTTTAGAGAAAGATTTCTTTTCTCAACATTCATTTTTACCCAATTAGGATGGGAACCAGAAATGGAGATGAAAGGGTGGCACCAGAATAAGTGTCCAGGGCCACCCCCCCCACACTCCAACCTCCTGAAGCCTCAAATGAGATAAAGTGAAGTGTCTCGTGCTTCATCTTCACTCAAACAGGAACCTTCTGTGGGGCTCCAAGTATTGCATCACTATCCCACACCAGGGGCACAACCCTTCCATCTGCTTTCCATTCAGTAATATTTCTAATCAAACCACTTTAGCTCAGCATTCCCCTTTATCTTTGAAATTCCCACTAAAAGCTTTCCTGGTCTTCTCTGCACCTGAAATCAGGGATTTTAGATGCTACAAACACCAAACCAGTTGTCAGCTGGAAACTGAATTCACTTTGCTTCTTACCTCCCAAAAAAACTACACAATCATCCCTGAGATCAGTTAAAATTCTATTAAATAAGTCAGACAGGAGTTACTCCATAAAACAATAAGAATTATGACAATACACCAGTGTAAGTATGACAAACTAATCACTAAAAAGACAAGGAACAGAGGAACTGAGTATAAAATTCACAAAGTTTTCACACGTTGATTTTAGGCCCTTCCTAAAGAAAGTCAGTAAAGAACCACAGACTGCAAAGCTCAGCTCTGGTTTAATTAAACTCATTATGTATGTCCAATGGTTCATTAACTGGGGAATAATCACAGTGTACATCTGAACTCTTCAGCTCAAAACTCGATATTTAAGAGTAATACAAACCTTTTGGGTTTTACTTGTATTTCTTGTCCATCTAGGGAGAGAATCTGGCTGAAAACTTGCTGATATCTTTAGATTTCAATAAGGAACTGCTACTGGATGAAGCAAAATTTCAATTTTGTTTAAAATATCAGTGAAAACTTCATAATGCTTTGAATACTGACTTTTCTCCATTAAGTTACAGATGAGTCCTTGATATGAAATCCAGAGTATAAACCATAAAATAGTATCTACTTTAAACTCTCTGCTAAGATGAGCTTATGCTGTTTCCTCGTGCAAAGTTTGTACTCAATATCCAATTTTGCTCTTTATCAGCACTTTATCAGCTAAAACTAAAATTCTCTTGTTTATAGACAGAAATTTCAAGGTAATATTTCTGAAATGCCTTACAGCAATCTTATTAAAAACATAGCATTCTGTTTAATCTTAATAAAAAGGTCACATTTTGTTAGAACTTCAAAACTGCACGTTGAGTGCAGCACTTTGGTCATTTAGAAGCCAGCACCTGATGTACCATTTCACTCAAAAAAGTGCTGGTTTAGGCTTAATATCATCTCTGGGAGCTCTAAAGAAAGATGCAATAAGTACATTTAAAGAACAATATCAAAGTTAAGCTTTGATATGGAAGATATGGAAATCTTCCACACTTAACCTGGCATTTTAGGAGAAACTCCCCTGTTAGGAATCTACTCCCTTCATCCAGAGGTTGGGGGATTGCAAATTTGCAATTTCTGTTCAGGTACAAGCCATTTTTTAACACTAGGAAATGACCTTTATTATAACTTGAGAAGTAGATATTGCAGAAATGAACTGGGAAATTGGTTCTTGTCCTGAATATTTCCAGGGTTGAAGCAATACTGGAAATATGGGGATGATGTTACTTCAGAAATTTCTTGTCCCATTTCTTTTTGCCATGGGAGACTACAGTATTAAAAAATATTTCAACACTTCCCAACTTTTTTGGACATTTTCCTCAACTCCACCTTTCAAACAGTGGCTTTAATAAACAGTAAAGAACCACATGGATGCATGTTAAGAGCATTCCATAAGTCCATTTTAATAAAAACCATCTTACAGGATATTTGAGTTTGCCAAACCCTTTTCTTCTCCCTTTTACAGAGGTAGAAAACTTATTCAACCTGTAATGAGTTGTCATTCCAAACCTAATCAGGGACTGGCCCAGGAAATTCCTAAATTCACAAGATGTATTTATAGGCATAAAGCATTCACTCTTCCCAAGGATAAGGCTAAAAGTCAACAAGTCAATCATATCAAAATACTTATTGCTTTTGAGTGAAAAAGCCATTAATGACTCATTAAAACCTTCCATCTCTAATGACTGATATGGTTTCGATAGCAACATAAAATCTACTGAAGAGAATTGGAGTTCAATTTACCAACTGGAATTCTTTGGCTTTGACAAACAGAGAGAATAAAGATGTTTTAGCAAACAGGATACTTTGGGATTTCCCATCCTTCTGTCAGCTGTGGATTCTCATTTAATATGGGCTGTCCCAGTTTATCGAGACAAAAATTGGTAAAATACACAACACTTCCTACAACCTGCAGAGAAAAAGTCAGAGAATTGTCAGAAATGTGTCAGTATTTAGGTGAGATCTGTAGCATTTCTATAAATTTACACTGCTTGAAATAATTGCAGGCTTTTTCCCCCATTCTGTAAGAATTTACAAATAACACACACCCACGCTTGGACACATAAGATTTTTTTCACTGATGTAGCCAAAACATGCTGAACTTAAATTTGATTTCTCAGTGTAACAGCAGTGAACAGATCTTATTTTAATGGCAGTAGAATATGTAGAATGAAGAGTCGGACCTACCATGGAAGAGCACAGTCAAAAACTTACACTAAAAGCCTCTTTCATTTTTTTAGCAGAAGATGAGCTGGCTGTTTTATAGTCCTCTTCCAGAACAACACTGGAGGGCTGGTAGGAAAAGCAAAAATTAAAAGAATTAATTGGAAATAATGGTAAATAGAAGAGCTCCTGAGCTAGTGAAGTTTGGAAAAGGCACAGAATGTGGAGTTCAGCTGCCGTCCTTTGGAGATGTCCACATTAGTCATGATGCTTTCCAGAGTCCAAAGCATGACACAGCTCATTTCTAATGTTTCCTTTGATGAGAAATACTCTGCACAACAACATCTTCATTCTCATCAGAAAGCTCAGGGAAAGATGGAGGGAAATCTGCCATTCCACCCGTTTATTCAAACTGAATGTTGGGTAAAACTCAAAAATCTAAACTAGGAGAAGAAAGTGTAATTTTTCAGATTTTGTTTGATATTCTCTTACATATACTCAGAGTTGGGCCAAACACACCAGAAGAGGATGCATTAAGTTTATACATTAAGTTTATACTTTATTATTTAAACCAACTTCTTAATTTGCCTTGACTGAAATTTCAAAGAAGCATTTTCACAGGCAGAAAAGATCTTTTCTTTATCCTGGGCTCTATTTTTGGCACAAATGGTTACACAACATTTGTTTGTTACTTGAGCTCAGTTTTGTTACTATTTAACAGCACAGCATTTCAATATTCCCACTGGAAAGGTGTGAGAGAAGGAACATCTCAGAACAATCGGAATTTGGAAGTACCTGGGGTTTAGCGTTCAGGTGTTTTTTTTCTTGCTCACATTTCTTCTGCTCCTCATATCTCTGAACTAAGCTAAAAACAAAATCTTCAATTTCCTGGCGGTACCGCCTGGGACAGAGGGAAGGAAGCAGCACAGAGAGATCAGACACGAGCAAGGCTCAAACAAAGGCCAGATGGCTTTTTTTTAAGCATTTACCACTTCTTAAAGAACTCAGAAAAGAGGCAGTGAAATTCTTTTCTGCCCCATTCCCACCCTCATCCGAGGTGAATACAATCTGTTATTTGAGAGCACCCTGGATGTGGCAAAAAATCAACTCAGGCAGGGAAAATTTAATTTCCTGCATTTACCCACAACATTCCTGAAATCCAAACTGCTCCTCAGACTCGCTCTGAGATCGTCGAAGCGACATTCATTTCATGAGAGTTTCAGACATTCAGATAATTACAGATATTGCTAATGAAAGCAATATTGCTTTCATATTGCCCATTATTCCTTCTCCCTTTCAAGCTTAACAGTTTATGTTATTAAATAAAAAGTACATCCCTCCATTGGGCACAGCACCAATATACCCAAAGGAACAAGAAAATTCCCATTTCTTCTAAGGATTGGTTTTTATTTGGAAATACTTACTTAGAAATGACATTGTTCATAAATAAAATCTGCAAGAGAGGCCCATCAACTTTGGAGTTTTCCACTGAGATTCCACTAGGACAGAACAGAGACACAAACAATGGTCACAGTGAATATTCCCCATCTGTTTTATTCCACAGGGAGAGGAAGGTTTGGCCAATACAAGTTTTATCCTTTTAAGAAGTTCCTATCCACTTAATCACCCTCCTTTTAAGCAGGTTGGCTGGTGTGAGGTGGAAAGAAAATAAATTAGAACATCACACTACAAAAATACTCATGTTCTGGATGAACAGAAATCTATTCATGCTCTCATAACTGTAGCAAACTTATAAATGAGATCTCTTATTTACTGAAATATTTGATTGAACTTTACACTAAAACTGTTTCCCTAAAGGCCACATTTCATAAAGAGTCAGATACACACAAATAAATTAAGTTACAGTGACACCAACTAAGTCCTTGATATTCAACTCCAAAAGACTTTTCAAGAACTGAAATGGCATTTTAGAAGCCCAATAACTGAGCAGGGACTAGGACGTGGAAAGAAGGTTTAAAAAGATGTGGGAGATTGTTATCTCAGACAAATTCTATTTATATATACATATATATATATATACACACATATACACATATAAATATCGGCATTAACATACCTGGGACAAGTCAGAATATTCAGCTTCCTTTTAAGTTCCCGATGTTAAGTTATGGTTAAGGAATATGATTTTCTTTGGAAGACACTCCCCCCACCTTAATTACCAAACCAAACAAGAAAACACTGAAGAAAAATTTTCCAGACTAACAAATAGGATTTCAGACCCTCCTTTTCACCACACAGGAGATTATTTACAAATCCACTTGTTGCTGAGGAAACACAATAAAAAGAAAAAAAAATAGGAAAAAGCAGACCAGCTGGGACAATCCCAACAATGCAATTCATGCACAATGCACTAGGGCTGTATTAACAGATTTGTAATACTTTATTTTAAAAAACTCTGTCATCACCACAAAACAAAAGGCAACAGTAATACACCCGTACTTGTAAATGGGAAATAAACGACAATACCCGTTTCAGATCCCACTCTGCTGCAGTGGCAAACCCAAAACTCCTTTAGGGAACCCGTCACAGTTTCACAATTTAAAATTATTTGTAGCTACGCTAAAAATGGACTGTCAAAGTGAACACACAGATGTTTCTTTTCCCTAGGAAGACAGAAAGCAGGAGTTCAGCGACAGCCGCTAAACAGTCAGCCCAGGACTCAAGAACTGAGCCTCCTCCTGCGGCGGAGCCGGCGCGGGCCTGAGGATTAAAGTTTTGGGGGGAAGCTTCCTCTGAGGAAGCCCAGGAGAACCGGGCACGGCTCCCTCGGGCGGAGCTCAGCCCTCACCGCCCTCCGGGACGCGCCCGGGCCCCGGCGGACACCGAGAGGTCTTTCCCCTCAGAGGAAAAGCCAGATCCCGTGAGGGCCGGGCCCGCTTGGCCCGGAAGGGAACCGGCGGCGGCAGCAGCGCTCCCGCGTCCCCCCGGCCCGGCGCGGGACCTGCCTGCCCCCCAGGATATTCTCCGCCCGCAGCCGATGCACCGTCTCATCACGGTCCCGCAGCCGCTCGTAGAGCTGGAGCAGAGCCACGGGCACGTCCAGGGCGGGCGGTGAGGGCGACTCGTCCTCGCCCTCCAGCTGCCCGAAGAGCTCGCGGTCCCCGAAATCCACCTCAGCCGCCATCTTGGGCCGCCACAGGAAGGGCGGGGCGGGGGCGAAGGGCGGCGGGAAGCGCGGGGAGGGCGGGAGACGAATGGTGAGACTACAGCTCCCAGCATGCACCGCGGTGCCGCAAAAAAACCTGCAGGGCCTCACGGGGGGCGCGGTGCGCGCTGGGAGTTGTAGGCGGCGCGGGCCCTACAACACCGTCGTCACCAAACGAACGGAGGACTCGCTCCCGCTTTTGTTACCGGTTTTCCTTCTCTTCTGAGGGGTGCAGACAAAGACTGGGCAGGAGCTGCGCGACTATTTTCAAGTAGATTGTCCTACACTAAAGTCCCACACTGCAAATCTTATTTTGCCCACTTCAAAATAACCAAAGCAAAACTGACAATCCTTAGATTTTCCAGACCTCTCTTGGAGATTGGTCCACAATACAAATTAACATAAAGTAAGACCTTAGAGAAAAAAAATGTCTTTATTATTAACCAGTTTTTCTGCACTGGATTATGTGCCTATTGGCCCAGACTGCTAAATAACATCTACACAATGTTTCTTTTCATGTTTCAAGAATTGAAAATAACTGTACAAGGTTAAAGTACAAAAGTACACAAGACAGTGGACACGAAATATCCATATATGAGTTTATCCCATCTGCTGCTTGTTTGAAAAGTAGAACTTTTAACTAAAAAATACTGTCCTTCTCTAGTTCTGTCAAGTTTAATGGAAGTGGGCATAACCTGATTACAACACTAACACCAGTATCACTAATCTGATATTTACAAAAAAAAAATCGTATTTTTCAATAAATTAAAGTCAATGCAACACCCATGCTAGCTTTTTGGTGAACAAGGACCCAACATGTGAACAAGAACCTTCCACAGTCCCAAACTTCAAAACTGTTTTATGTTTTGTTATCCTTTTTCAAACTGCATCCATTCCTCTCATGGAAGATGTGAACCCCAATCCCATTCCTCGCTGTGTGTGAGTCTGTGATCTGGCCATTTCATACTGTGCATCCAGATTTCTGAACACCTCCTCCTGCTGCTTCAGTGTTTTGTAACTCTCCTCATCCACGGAGCTGCATCCAGCTTCATCCTCGCTCTGCAAACAGGGAGAACACAGACATCAGCTCTGGGGGTTCAGAGGCTGCGTCTCCTAAACATGACTGTTCCTAATAATTATTTCAACAGTAAAGAAAAATTAAATTTAAATAAAATCCATTTTTAATAAAAATTAGATTAGTAAGAATTCAAGCATTCGAGTTGATTTATTCAAGCATATTGAAATTTATTTGAATTTATTGCAGCAACATTCTATTCTCTGTCAAGGAACAGAGAATAGAACTTTACCCAGTTCCTTTTTCTAATTAATTTAAATAAACGTCTCCAATTAACTCATCTGTGCAAAGAAATGCTGCTTATCAGATTATGAATATTGCTTACAGCCACAACTGTTGTTCCAGACCACAACAGTTGTTCTGTTAGCCAGAAACATAATGATATATTCTACAATTTTAATTGAATCAGATCTAGATGCTACTTCTGAATTTAATAAATACCTAAAGTTCATAACTACATCATGTAGTATTAGGTACCCTTATCAGTTAAGGCAGACTTGAAAATAAATAGAGAAATCACTATACTACAATGAATACACTTGATTACATTCAGAATTCTTTACCTTTATGCCCATCAGTTTTCTGAACTTGACATTTTGGTCCTTGTTTCCAAAATTTAGTTTTTCCCATATTTCTGCAGATTGTGACTTATCCTGTACAGGGTAAAAAAAAAAAAAGAAAAGATGTATCAACTTTCAGGCAAGTTTCCATTAATATCACAATACAGTAGCAAGCAAAGAAGGTGTTAAAAATGAGCCCATTTTGAAGCACAACTGGAAGTAAAAGGTTTCCAAGTGTGACATTCCTGCAGTATCCTCACAGGAACACTGACAGGGAAGTCTCCCTAACCACAGTGTCAAAACCAGAGGCATGTTCCTTCCTTGGGCACACTGTACTTCTTTCCAAAGGTCTGGAAACCTTGTCAGAATTCCTGCTTGAAGTGAATTATGGAAAACCAAATTTGCTTATTGCGATTATATACAGCACAATTCAGGAAGAACTGCCTGGAAGGCATTCAGGGTTGTTCTTCCCTCCCTCCTGTCTCCCATCAATGCCATAGGAACCAGTTTCAGTTTCTCCCATCTTATGGAACAGCCTGTGACAAGCTAAGGGAGCTTGTTATGTAACTGATGCATGGTGGTACCTCACCTAAACAAACACTTCTGTACCAGCACAGAGTCAAAAGGCAAAACCAGAAATAGTTTCTCAATTTTTCCCATAGTATCAGCAGGCAACTGATATCAAGAGTCCAACTCTCGATTTTAAAATTTTACCTTAGGCTGCTGTTAAAACAGGGAAACTTCCTGACAGGTATGAGAGTAACTTTGCTGGAAATAACATTAATAAGAATCTTTAAACTGCATGCAAGATCCTTCCAAACATGTTCATGAAGGCAAAAAAAGCCAACATTACCCCTTCCTTTTTGCCTTGCCAAAGCATCTTCCGCTTTTTCTCTTGCTCAGCAAATTTCATGGGGTTCACTGCTGCTGGGTTGTAATAGCTGGGGACAGCTATTCCAGTCTCTGCCAGGGCCTTGGCCTGGAGTGCTGCCATCTGAGCTGCCATTGCAATCTGAGGAGTCACTTGTGTTCCCGACGCCAGGAGAGCAGCGACGTTAATGACGGAGCCCCCGGTGGCTGCAGCCGCTGGAGAAAAGGGACTTGCTATGAATAAGTTTGGACTTTGAGGAAAGAAACCCAACCACCAACCACCCCCCCAAACCAAACAAAAAAAGCCTAACTCCCCAAATGCTTCCCTTCAACGGAAATAAGTTGAAAATGCACAAATGACAAATGCACGATCAACTAATGTTGTTTGTAAATTAAGAAATACATCTCCAGTAGTTTTAGTAAACCACAAGTGAAACTAATGTACCCCAGGGTTCTAAATAGCCCTGAGCAGACAACAGCCTTCAAACTCTGATGCACAAAGGGTCCAATGACCATCACAAATCATGAACAGGCCTAACTACACAACATTTCCGTTGTACACTCAGGAAGTGATAAGAAAATCCTGATCATTTTTCTTGGGGTTTTACGTTTCTTATTTTTGGTTTGGTTTTGTTTTTTTCAAACATTTCTTCCTTCTGGTTGTTGTTCTTGTATATGGACCAAGTTAAGATTATACCAAGACAATCTGCACCTTTGTTGGACAGGACTGTAACACTCAGCTCATAATAACATACTCTCAATAAGCCTATTCTTACTATCTTTCACTCACACTCCTGTTAATGAATAATATAAATACACATGAACTACCTGCAGCCATTTCCTGTTGCTTCTGTTTTTCAACCATTTCCTTCTCTCTCTGTTCTTGCAGTTTCTTTGCTCTTTCCAGTCTAGAAGTACATGAAAATAAAAATATTTAGACATGCAAAAATCAACATCGGGAGCTTATTTATGTCACATATCAATAAAATCCTAACAATTCCTGACCTCCTGGCTAATGCCTCCTGTGCATCCATAGCTGTGTTCCGTCCCCGGAAGGGCGGTGGGCTGGGACTCCGGCTGTGACTCCTGCTGAACCTTCGGGGCTTCTCAATTCTCTTCTTTCTCTCCCTGTAACCAAATTTTACAGTTGCTAAACCAATCAAAGTACATATGGAGCTTAACATTTCATAAAGGATTTGATCACGACACTAAAAGTTTGCTTAGTGATTAATTTGGAGAGCTCTCAAGAGCTTTCACAGGGATTATGTTAGGACAGTGTAACAGCCAAACTCTCCTTGCAACACAGAGCTAAAACTCAAGATTTCCAACTGTAACAGAATGCCTAATTCTGGACATTCTAATTTCTAATTCTAATTTCTGGTAAAGTCAATTGCAAGAGAACTTAAAAATAATCAAGTTAGATGAATGCTTTAAAACCACGAGACATAAAAGCATATTAATAATGAGCATTTTGAAGAGGTCCAGGTTAATAATTTCCCTAAGTACTATTCCAGTTCTTATCACTGTCCCCTCTGCAAGCTCTTCCCTAAATGTGCTTTGGACAGCTGTCTGAAGGAGGCTGCCACACTGAATGTGAATGTGAGACCTGCTTTAAATATGTGATTTGCTCCTGAGAAGACCAGATTGTGCAGAGAACTATGAACATGAATTATCTGGAACCTGACCATCAGAAAAGCACCCAGTTAAAATGTATTTTTAAGCAAAATACCAAAATATTCGGTTCAATTCTCCTTGAATAGCCTTCTCCCCACCTCATCCCAAGCAGGAGTCATTCTCAGGACATATACACTTCATCCCATCTAAACAACAGCCACTCAAAATACACACATAAAGTACTATTAGAGCAGTTCTCTGTGCCAGGATCATCTGACTCATCTGAGTTAAGGGCTAACTGGAGGTAACAGAATGACAACAGCAACCTTACATGGCAGTCAGGTACTCTCTTGCTTCTGTTTGCACCTTGGGCAGCATCTACAAACACCATGAAGTTACAAAAAGATCCTTGTTTACATGACAAATCTGGTAGAATACAAAGGAGGCAAGACTTATCTTTTCAGAGAAGATGACAAGATGCAGATTCAGGCACTGGGAAGTGACAGATCTGCATTCCTGAGATAAGATGTAATGCATGTTTCAAAGATACCTTCATTTTCCCGTGCTGACTACTGTAGTTTGGGTCTTGTCTTTGGTCTGATGCTTTATTGCACTGGTAAACATCAAGGAAATAAGTATTTGAGCTTTTGTATTTAAGTATTTCCATTTGAAACAAGCAGATGGTGTCATGTTTTCCACCTAGCATTTAGTTAGAGCCATAGCATGAAAGAACTGCCACGAGGGTCTACACAGAAAGATTAGTTTAAATGCCAGTGAGGACTCAGATCACCTGAAAACCTGAGTTTGAGATTATGCAAAGAACCATCAAGAGAAGGTCAAGCTCTACTGTTTGCAAATGCTTCTGTCACACAAAAAACACTGCATTTCAGGAGTGAGGGAATTTATGT